CCTCCTCTCAGATCTCCCTAAGCCTCCCTTTTCCACTGCCCCTCTTGCAGGGCAGGATCTTTCCCTTAACCTCAGACAAAAGCCCTAACACTTCCTAAGTGGGAAAGCTTGAGCAAGTCACTTATCTCTGACTCAGTCTCCCCAATTATTGAAAAAAAAAGCGTGGAGAGAAATAAATGAGTCTTCCTATGTTTCCATATCCAGCACAGAGGTTGGCACACAGGGACATGACAAATGAGAAGTTTCCTTCCTCCAATCCCCAGGGATCTCAAAAGTTTTAGGTTTTGGTCTTCAAAGTAAATTGGAAAATAGGGTGAGAGGGGCACTGCCTGAAGGTATAGTACTCTTGACCAGGGGACAAAAAAGCTCCTTCTCTGTATGCTTCCCTGGTCTCTCCAACTCCTATGGGAGTGGCCAGAGCACCCAGCCAGAGGCACCAGGCCAAGGTCAGTGACCAGGCCTAGAGCCCTGAGCCTCCTGGGAGGGTGAGTTTAAATGAGTAAATATGGTCCCGCCTGGGTGAGGCCAGCAATAGGCCAGAGCTCCAGACAAGCCCCTCCTCTCCCAGCCTACAGCAGAGGGGAGAGACATCAGACAGCAAGCCCAACTGTCTCCCCCACCCCCAGGCTATCAGGGCTCTGTGCAGAGTCAGTGAACACACTCCCTGTCTCCATGCCAGGCAGGACCAGCCAGAAGCATGGCTAGGCTCCCAAGAAGGGGAGGTTGTGGCCACAGCCTCAAGAAAAGGAAAAATCAGATGCAAAAGGCCTTGAGGATCACCCAGGCCAAGGACTGGCCCCAAAATGCTTGCAGGCTCAAATGCAACCTTGATACCTCAGAATGGCCTTGCTCATCAGGATGAGTGGGAAGGGCAACAGAGACCAGTGACAAACCACCAAAACACCCAGGTGCTCTGCTCACCGCAAGGCTAGGTGAAACTCCTGTACATCTGGAAAGCTGACTTACCCAAGGACATGCAGGGGGTAGTGACAGGCCGAGGCAGGCTGTGCCAGGGCCACAGAGAGGGTTAAATGGTGGTGAGGGTGGAGTGTAGTGTTGCAAGGGGCAGTGATGGAAGTCAGCCAGGGCTCCCCAACTCACACGCCATGCTCTAGGTCCAACTCAATCCCTCTTGCTCTGCCTTCTTGCCTCTAGTCCCCTCAACTTGTCCCTAGTCTCCAATCTTTTAATCATCTTTGCCTTACACTACCGCCACCCCTAACAAAGTGCAGCTGCTCCATGGGTGTCTACACACCATTGTGTGTCTACACACCCGTGTGTGTATGCAATGTACAACTCCATGCATGTGAGCCACTAAATGCTGTGGACCTGCCAGGTGCATCTGGGCATGTCAGTCTGCACAAGAGCCCCTACCTAGTCCCACTACCAAGGGAAAGGGGCCCAAGGGCGAGCCAGCCACAGCTCTGGGACAAACTCTTCAGGATACTTTCAGGCCCAGACAGCAGGGAAGAAGAGAAAACAAATACTCCAGGAGCCAAACAGCACCATCCCTACTAGGCCAAAGTTAAGGCCTCTCAGCAGAGCCACCAAGAGTCACTGGAGGAGAAAGTGCTTTGAGATCCTCATCTTCCCCAGCCCAAGTTCAAACTCTTTCTCTCTCCCCCCATCTACCTGCACTGATAAGTTCTTCCTGAAGTCTAAGGTCCATTCTGCCTGCTGGAGTGGTGGACAGACAGGGGGACATTAACCACAACACAGAAAGGGGTTCAGCTCTCAGAACAAAACTACTAATACCTAACACCTCCTCCATACTCCATGAGTAAGTTACCAAGCTGGGACAGAAGGACAGATGATTGGCCGGACTCCGGTCCCATGACTGGCTCATAAAAGCCACCAGCGATTACAGTGATGCTGAGGCTATGCTGGCCCCATCACCATCTCCTTCCCTGTAAAAGGGAGATAATTGCCTCAAACCAGTTGGCCTCAGAGAGCCTGGAGAGTCCCAGCCATGATCCCGAGGGGTGGAGAACCTCTCACCACAGTGCCACAAGACCCAGAATCTGATCCCTGATGATGGGTTCGACGCCCATGTCTGACCCTCATATCCACTTATGGAACCCAGGTGAACACCAAGAGACTTGTTCCCCAGAGATCGAGGCTTCTGTTATCCATCCCCCACCAATTCCCTTTCTCCAGTAAGGCCACCACCCTCTGGACTAGAGGGTCAGAGGAGCAGAGCGCCTGGCTCTGAATACAAATAGGAAAATGCTGGACCCACCCATTTGTCCCTGACTCCTCTTTCCCCCACAGAGGTACAGAAAGTTTTGAACACAAGGCCCACCCACACCAGTCAGGGTCAACACTGAGATTCTGGACCAAAAGTCAACTGGGGAGGGCAGGGGGCCCAGCTGGCCAGAAGGAGACTGAAACGATAAGCAGAGGGCATGGCCTCTCTAAGGGCACAAGGGCCAGGGATACCCACAGCAGAACCTTCCCAGAGCATGGTCAGAGAAGAAGGGTGGGAGGGGCTAGGTCACAATCAATGAGGGCCTAACCACAAGGCCTCCTCTTTCCCATCCCACTCAGGGGGCCAGGAAGCCTCCCCCAGCCTCCTAGCTACTGGTCCTCCAGCCTCAACCTGAGAGATCTACCCTCCACCTTCTCCACCATCACCCCTCCCAGGAAAGACCCAGTAAAGATTAAAAAAAAACCCAAAAAACCTTCTGGAGATATTATGTAACAGCAGCCAGAAAGACTATCATATCTCCCAGCCTATGAGAAGAGCCAGAAGCTAAGAGGGGCAGAGCTGGGAAGTTCAGGCTCCTCCAGTCCAGGGACAGCAGATACAGAGTTGGGTGAACAACAGGCAGCCCCCACCACCCTCCCAAGTCCTCCACTACTCTGTTCCAGGCATTGGGTACAGCAGACAGAAGCTCTTGCCCAACCTCCCATGCCCATCGCCAAATAAGAGGGTCTTGCTTGTCCCCTCAGACCAGGGCCTCCAAAGGGAAGGATTGTGTTTTTCTTCCTATAATCTCTCCCTACTATGAAACTGTGTCTGAAAAGAGTGGTGGTTGGACTAAAGTTCTGACAGAGATTTGCTGTGTGACCTCAGACAAAAAATACTCAACCTCTCTGATCTCTAAAGGACTGTGAGTGAAAGCTCCTCCTATTCCCAGAGAAACCAGAGACCCTCCCCTTACAAATGCATATTCACACTTACACAAACACACAAACACATACGGGCTGTGTTGGGGGAAGGTGGGCAGGGGAGTTACAACAAACAGAATATGACCACCAAGACCCAAGGATCCAAATGCCTGTACTGGGGCAAGTGGGGAAAGGGCTACATATGAGCTCCAGTGATCCCCCCCATCACCCAATATAAACGGGTCCTCAGCCACCCTCACACTGATCCCACCCCACCCCCATCTCCTGCCTAACACACTGGGAAACCACAGGAAGGAAATTCATTCCCAGGCAGGCCGTGGGAGCTGGGACAGCCAGGCTAGGTCCTGGGGCGGGTGTGACCCGGCAGCCACAAGCGGGTGGACATCTGTGAACACTGACATGTGCCTTTTCAATGCTCTCCTTGACTACTAAGACTTCTCTGTTGGGGGTTTGGAGGGGAGTGGGAGGTGGACAGCTCCCTAACTTCAAAACACCCAATCTCATGCAGGCCTGGGCTCCCCTGCTATCTAGAGGCCAGAGCAGCCCAAGGTCACCGCCCCAGACGGTAAACTTCCCATAGTCCAGGTTGGCCTCCGAATTGCCTAGGAGACCCACTGAGGGGATGGGGGTAGGTGCAGGGGAGGGCCACCCCAAAACCAAAGAAACCAGGCCTACAGGGAGACCTCTAAAGGGGGGCTGGGCACTGGGAAAGGGGACATAGGACCCACCCACTGTCCCCTCCCCCAACCCAGCAACAATGCAATGCTTAAGGGGAGGCAGAGAGAGCCTCCCACTCAAAGGACAAACCCAGGATAACCTAGTCAGTGGCTCCAAGCCTGCCCACACTCGGGAGCCTTCCTTTCATAAGGAGAGACCTCAGGAGGCTGCTAAGAGACAATCCTGAATTACTAGGGGAAGACAGACCCTGTAAGACCAAATCTAACAAGAAAGGGTCTGGCACTGGAGTGAGAGACTAAATTCACCTTAGCCTCCTTGGCCCTCCCTCCCGCAACGCCCCCCCCCAACAATTCTCCAGACCCCCCCACTCCCAGCCCAGTTCAGCCTGCGAGAGGTGGAGAGAGGGACTGGAAAAGTCTTGCCCAGATGTTGAACAGCTGCAAACTTCTGGCCGGGGGTTCTCCAGCTGGGGTTGCTGACAAACCAGATTAGGTCTCGAAACGGGCTAGGAGGTCCCAAGGAAGGGTCCTGCGTGCCCACCTCCGTGGTGACTTCGCGTTCCAACTCCACAGGCACCGGGCAAACCCGGGCCCCGGACACACACACACTCACACACCCCAACCCACCACCCCGGTGTCATCTGAACAACATCCCCCCTCCCTCCCCCGCTTCCCAAACAGCTGCGGCTCCCCCCGCCCCCACCCTCCCGCCGCCCTCCCAGGCCCCCTTCTGCACCATTTCGGGCCAAGGAGGAGGGAACAGGCGGCGCGAGGAGAGAGAGGGAGGGAGGGCCGGCTGTTAAAATGTCAGTCGCTCCCGGCTGTCACCGGAGACCCCCTGAGGATGGCGCCCCTTCCCAGACCACTCGGAGGCTGCCGTAACCCCGCACACCAATAGACCGGCGAGACCACAAGCCGCCCGTCCCCACCCCGACCCCAACACCCCCCGGGAATTACAGCCCACTCCACTTGTCCCTCACAGCCGACTCCCTCACCCAAACAGTCCCCCATGTAATCTCCCACCAACGCCACACGAAAACACAGCCCGCTCAGCGAGTTCCTCCCAGCTCAGGAGGCCACCCCATCCCACTCCTCAGGGGGACGGTCTAGACCACCCTCCACCCCAAACCCAGGACGGGGTGGGGGAGGGGGCCTCTTAAAGCGGCAGGCACATTATTTTTCTCTACTCACCGGCCCCGCTGGGGGTAGGGGGGTGTAACGGTTGGGAGAGGGTAGCCCTCGCCCCTAGTCCCGGGAATCTTCAGCACCTGGAAGCCGCAGCTCCGGGCGGAGGGAATAATAAATGAGACCGGCGTCGGCGCGGGCCCTGGGCGGCGCCGGGGGGCCAGGGCCCCCGTGGTGGGCGCGGGGGCGGGCAGGCAGGCGGCGAGCTGGCGGGGGACCGGAGCCGAGCGCCCGAGCCGCCTCGGCTGTTGTTGATATTTTGCTTCCTTCCTCCTTTCGGGCTCCAAAGGTAACTCCTCCAGCCCCCGGGAGTCGAGGCCGACGTAGGCACAGCTCAGCCTAGCTTGAGGGGTGGGGGAAATGAGGGTGATAGACAGGCGGGGGGGCCAATGGGAGGAAACCGTGGGGGCGACGGGGCGGGGCTAAAGCACGGGCGGTCCCGGGGACGTGGCCCCGCCCCTAGCTTCCCTCGGGCCGGCCGGGCCGGGCCGGCCCGAGTCTGTCCGCACTCCACCGCCCTCCTAAGCTAGGCTGCGGCGCTGGGAGCGGCAGATCCCTCCGCCAGCCAGAAGGGAGGGAAGAAGCGACAGAGCAAGGCAAAGTAGGGAGGCGAGACCCAGAGGCCTCTAAAGGGATCGGCCCGCGCCCGCGGTGCCCTCTTCCAGCTCGCCCGACGGCCGCCTAGCACTGCTGCCACCATGCGCTCGAGGAGGTCTTTCTGGGGAGGCTCCGCGGGCTGCGAGCATACTCTCCCGTACACACACGCTACCTCGACAGCTCCCCCCGAACCCCCAAGCCTCAGGAGAGTTGGGAGGTGGGAATCTAAGTAGATAAATTCAGGGTAGACACCAAGTATTGAAAAGATTCCATCTTCCTCACTTAGTGTGTGCCGAAGCCCCACTTAAAGGGACATGTTCATTTCTGAGGGTTACCTGGAGAGCTCTTTTGCTCCCCCTACCTGTGACAGGCCCCCTCCCCTCCCTGGGCCTGGCTCGGCAGACGCCCAACAATTTAAAGCGACAGCTCATAGTTCGTGGGTGACCTAATCCCCAGTGCCTGCGGGCCCCAGAGCACTTACAGCCAAGGGGGGCAATTTAAAGGGGCGTGACCCTAATTTCCCCCAGCACAGGAAACGCCCAAAAGTATCTTATTAAAGAAGCAGTATTTATTTAGAAAAATTCTTAATTCCTGTTTGCTCCAGGGTGTGGTGACTCCTGCCCTACAACAGGAGTGTGGGTGCCATGCCTACTGGACAACCGACCCATCAGACTTCTCCAGCATCCTAATTACCTCCAAGAACCTGGAGCTTGAGGAAATGATGGAATCTGGCTTAGATCTCAAAGAACCTTGCAGAACAGAAGGGCACTCAGTTCTTCACACACCCTGATTTCTATATGGCTGGGTCTGATTTACTGGACAGACTCAATTCTAGGTTAAGAGCTGAAGAGACTAATATATAAAGAAAGAGACAACATGTCATGGTGATTAGAATTATCACCTTTGGAGTAGTCAAGCTACCTTAGTTCAAATCCTTTTCCCACCATTTAATAACTGGGAACTCAGGCACATTACTTAACTTCCCTGTACCTCATGATCCTCATGGGTCAAATGGAGATGATAATGGTACCTAACTCATAAATTTGGTATGAAGATTAAATTAGTTCATATAAGTAAATTGCTTTGAAGAGTACCTCATGTTGCATTGTAATAACTCAAGGACTGGACTGCCAAGACCACTTTAGGCCCATTATCCCATACTAGCCTCAAAGGAGGCAAGTTCAGTGGAATTGCTTCGCAAATAGGTTGAAGGCTTATCTTGTATGTCCTAAGACAGGAAGCCAGCAGACTTCTATTTCCTTGGCCTCAGTTTCCAACCGCTCCACCTGACCCTTCCTTCAGTAAACATGATTTAAACAGTGTCCTACTTTGTCCCCAAACGTTTTGTCCCCACTTTGTCTCACTTTGTCCAAATGTTTGTCCCCACTTTGTCTCAGTTCCCCATTAGAGCTGGGAGATGGGGCCCCAGCAGATGTCAGTCTTTTCTGCCAGGCAGGGCTAGCTTCCTGGAAGGACCTCCAGGTAGGCAGGGGGAGCCCATCTGTCCCATCCCCAAGGGCTCTGAGAAGAACAGAGCCTTGTGCCAGGCCTGGGGCTGTGGCAATAGCAGGATGGGAAAGTGCCCCCCCTCCCTCAAGTGGGGAACCTCCCCTCACTTGTGGCCTCTATTTTTAGTGCTTCCCCAGGCTCTAGCTGGAGAAACCGTTTAGTCATCAGGGTGTTTATTTTCCGGCTGTTTCCGACGTCGGGAAAGCAGAATGTTGAGACTGGAGAGATCCAGGGCTGCTGGAAAAGACTTCTTAGGAACAGGCCTGGGAACTCAGCCTTCAGACCAGTGGGTCCCAGATCACAGGAAAAAACCAAAGTGAGCAGGGGGCAGACTGGCCCCCAAGAGACCAAGAGAGCTAGGTTTTCAGACTGCCTTCAGTTTTGAGGCTCTCCAAGTCAGAGACTCCTCTGGCCCCAGCTCTACTTGACGGGTTCTCCCCAAAAACATTAGCAACCCCAGAACAAATTCTTTCCCAGGGCTGTTTCCCAGAAACCCCCTCCCCAGCCTCCTATAGATTTGCATGGTGACCAACCAGAGCTCCAGCCAATCTCAAGCCCGAGGCAGACTTGCCAGGGCTGCGATTGGCCAGCAGGTCCTCCTTGCCTTGGAATGTTGGGTCCTTAACAAAAGAATGAGGAAGGAAGGTGAGTCACCTGGGAGGGTGTTAAAGGGACAGAAGGAACAGGAGAGAGGAAGGAGGGGTGAGAAGAACTCAGTGGGGAGATGGAGTGTCTTGGACACTTAGGTGCTGAAATGATAATCGACTAGAAAAGGGTAGGAGAGGCTAACATTACAAGTGGGGTAGGATTTAATTTATTTATTTGTTTGTTTGTTTGTTTATAGAGAGAACTTCATGGGAAAGGAAAAGTAACATGTGAGGGCTTGATTTCTATGGAGAACTAAGAAAGGATCTAGGGAGTATTACTGAAGTAAGACTATAACAAAGACTTCTTGAAAGTGACTCACTACATCTTTTTCTTCTTGCCCCTAGACTACCCATCCCTGGAACCGCTAGGTGGAAAATGCCTGAGCAGGCTCAGATGCCTGGCTCATTATTCCTTTTCCCCCTCTGACTACCAACTCATCTTTCCTAAAGAAGAGTCATCTAATCTTGCTATAAAATCCCCTAGGAGTCAAACAGATACCACCAAAATTCTAATACAAAGTGTGCATAAACTCCTCTGTACAGTATCACCTTCATAAATTTATATGACAAAGGGACATCAACAGCTCCCTTTATTCACACCTCGCCAGGCAGCCCTAATCCAACTTAATGTGGAATGGTCCTCCTCATCCCCAAGGGCTGCTCCTCTCCTGACTGTTGTTCCATAACTATGGGAAGCCATTACTGCTATTCAGCCTCTCTGGCTGCTTGGTTAACCCCTCTTGCCTTCGCCACAGTTAGCTGGACAATCTCCATCTTCACCTTCATCTGTGTCATCCCTTCCTTTGGACTGAACATTCTTCCTCCCAGTTTTCTGGTAATTCCAGCAAAGACCCCCAATCTCTCTTCACATCTTCCACCTTGCTTGTGAGAAGGGCCAGCACATATATTGGTGATCCTTCTGTGTATACATTCTCCTTGTGGACCTGTGTGTCATCCTGTACCTCTGCTTCTGTATTCTCTACACTGTGTATCTATCTCATCAGTGCATGCAGCCTTGTACTGACATTTTTGGTCTTCATCAGATTTTGAACTCCTTGAGGGCAGCAGTTTAACTCAATGTTGAGTTTTCAGGGTCTTGTAGGGCCTGGCATGGAATGCACTCAACAAATGTCTGTTCTATGAATCTGTGTGTGTATGTGTGTGGTGTGTCTGTGTGTGTGTAGCTATGTTAAGATTATAAAAACTTCACTGAAAACCTCTATTTGTCTATTGATAACTGTGCTAGTCCTGGGATGGGGCTCCTATCTGGGACCAGAACAAGTCCCTCTCTGGGCGGGGGCAGGGTGCTGGGCAGAGTTAAGCAGAGAGGTGTCCAAGGCTGTGCTGGCAGAGCTGTGCCCCAAGCTTAGTGGCAGGGTGCCTGGGGCCAGGCCCGGGGCAAAGGGCAGACGCCCCACCCTAGAACTGAAGGGGGCAGGGAAGGGGTGCCAAACCGGGTCCTGGGTCAGTGCCCCTCCAACCCCCACGAGTTCCCGGCCCCCGGCTGGGCAGGATGTGGTGGCAGCTGCAGGAGGGTGGGCAGGATGTGGGGGTGGGGGCAGCTGAAACGAAGCCTGACAGCCTTCTCCCCAGCTCCTCCCTTCTTCCCTTTCCCCACCACCCCACCCCTCCAGGTCACGTGGTTCCAGCCCGGGCACCGACGGACTATTTCCCCCTTTCCGCGGAAGGACATAATTGATATCGCAAACTCGAGTCACCACCTACTTTAGCCGTACCACGCCTTTTTCTTGCCCCATAGCGCAAGACGGAAAGTTTGCCACACACACATTTCTTTAAATCCTTGATTACTAACCCTGGAGTGGCCCCTTTAAATGCAAATAAACCGCCCTCTCGCTCTCGTCCCCCCACCCCCATCCCAACTTCGCTCCTCGTGCCCAGACTCCGCCAGCTGCCATTGACGTCACGCGTGCGTCAGCGTCGCCAGCCCAACCAGACGGCACGTGGGGGGAAGAAGGTGGCTTTAAAGGGCCAGACACTTTCGGCCTGCCGGGTTACTGCTGTGAGATTTGGCCTTGAAAAGGAGGAATGAAATGGGAGGTGGGGAAATCTGTTGAAACAGAAAGAAATGCAGGATAGACGTTAGGAAGGACTTACCAGAGTAGGACGGCCAGGCCTTTCCTCTAGATTCCCCTGAAGTTTGGGTATTTGCCCCTGGGAGAGAAACCCAGGAGGAGCAAGAACTCCGAGGTTTAGGAGGCTTGGCATTTAGGACTCACCCGATAATAACTGCAGCCTTCCCTCTATCCCTGCCCAGTATGTCCGCGGCGCAAGGACTTCATTCACTTCGCTATTCTCAGCACCAAGCTCGAAGGACGTAATAGATACTCAATTTAAGTATTTGTAGAATGAATGGAGTACAGTGCAAAAGCCACCTCTCTGGGGAGGCTTTCCCTGACTGCCCCACCCAGCCACGCATAGCACATACCCAAAGCTCAGACAATCTCACTCTGTTTTTGAACACCCACAGCATTTAATGAACTTGCATCTTCCTTGCATGCATTAGCGACCACATGGGCAGTGGTTAAGAGCACAGAATTTAGAGTCCTGTAAACATAGGTTCCAATTCCATTTATACAGTTTACGAGCTGAGTGACTTTGGGCAGGTCTCTTCATTTAGTTCTAAAAACTGTCAAATGGGGCTAATGCTGCTTAGACCATAGACGTGTTACAAGGATTAAATGGGACAATTTTTGCGAAACTCCTGTATGTTATCTAATCCACAGTAAGTGCTCAAAAATGGTGGGAAGAAGGTTTTAAGATGGCCGTTTCACCCACTAAACTTCAAGTTCTTTGACAGCAAGGAGCTTGCCATACTAATTTATTCCCAGCGCCAACACCAACACAATGTAAGGCTTATAGCTGGTGCTTTAAAAATGCTTGTTAAATGAATAGACATGAATGAATAAATGGTTTCAATATTTACTGAAATCTGACTTCTAAACCGACCCCTGAAGTTGTTACCCAAAGGAAGAAAACATTACATCGGCCTCCTCTGTGCCCCAGGTTTTAAACTCTGTGGCGCCTCAAGGTAGAGTTGGGATGAGGCCCTAATCTCTGTGGTGGAACCAAAAGTATTACGCAAACAAGCCACACATGATTGGTCTGCAATGGAGACCTGAAAGGGGCCTCCCCACCCCTCCCATTCCTAGCTCAGCAGCTAAAACCCTGTCCCAGCAAACCCAGGCTGGGCTTCTGCCAAGGGCAGAGGACACTGTGGCGCTAGAAGAGGGGAGCTTCTTGCCCCCTCAGAGTTTCTCAGCCCAGACACTAATCCATCTTTGGCCTCTTCTCTGGAGCCTAGTCTGTCCCCCCAGCCAACTCCTCTCCCCAGCCTCCCTCCCATCCCCCACCCCAACCTTCACTCCCGCCCCAGCTTCCCAGTTGTTATAGTGGGAGGCGAGGGGTCACAAGACCTCCTATCACCTGATTCCAGCTCCTTGGCCAGAGGAGCAGTAGCCACCTCGTCCTGGTTCAGCCTGTCTTGAAGCTGCTTATCGATCTGATTTTCAATATCTGTTACCATCTCTGAAGTAGAAGGGCTGACAGACAACAGAAGGGACTTCCTGCCAGGGGAGGAGCTATGAGCAGAAGATAATGAGAGCCCTCTCTTTCCTTGAAGACCAAGAAGAAGCGATGAGACCCTCCTCTGGCTGAGAGCAACCCTGTCAACCCGAGAAACCCTGGGGGGTGTGGATGGGTTTCCCCCACAGGAATCTCCCATCGGCCTTCATGCTGGCTCCGCCCCTGCATGGGTGGGGTGCCGCCCAGGAGCACTCTGTGTTCCAGAAAAACCCAAAATAACCCGCCTTAGCTGTCCGGCTGCTATTTCTGTGCATCTTGTTTAATTATTCAAACCCAAGTTGGGGAGTGAACTATAAAAAGCTCTCCTACTTGGGGACCC